TAAAAGTTAACTAACATGTAGTGAAAAACTTACTTGAACCTTGTAAACGACTATTAAGTTCATTACAATAAATATGTTCCTAAAAAATTAAATAAACATAAGAAATTGATATTATACATTTATAAAGGTCTAATGCATTTATTACTAACCATTAATTTTGAGTTAGCTTGAAGTTTAAAAAATCCAGAACATTTTTCACCCTTCAAATCTTCCAAATCTATTTCACCAAAATTTTCATTATCAGAACCTGTAAAATTTATTTTACACGGAGATCCAGGTGTTGCTGAGTTCTTCATGGTCGGGATTAGAAGGGTAGTTAAGAGAAAATGTGAAAGGAAATTAACCTTGTTTTAAAAAAATATATGGATTTAAAATCAGTAAAGGTTTGAATAAAGAAGTAAACAAATTATACACCAAATTTACTTGGAATTGCTGTTCGAAATTATCTTTTGTCATCTCCACGCCAAAATTAAAAATACCTGATTTTTGTATTTTACATTTAAATATTAAAAGAAATAATAAAATGAGTAACCTTGATTGCGAATTTATATTAACACACACCAGCATTATTCCATAAGTAGTGCAATTCTCCAACTTCTTTAACAAATTTATTAGCAAAACTCTTCACACTATGTAAATCCGCAAAGTCAATATCCCATAATTCAACACAATCAACCTTTCCATTTTGAGAATTTCGAATGTATTCCAAGAGTTGTTCACCTTTTTCACGATTACGAATTGGTAGGATTAAGCGTTTTGGATTGTATGATGAAATTATGCAAGCTAAACTTTTACCAATTCCTGTTTAATTGGCGATGATAATAATATTGTAAGAAAAAGAAACTACGTTATTATAATTGTAGAAAGAAAGGACAGACCATCTGTTGAGCCGGTAATTATGATAACTTTATTTGATAAGTCGTAAGATTTAATGGTTGACTGATTTGCTCCCATTTCAAAGTGAAGAAAGTTTTATTAAAAAATAAAAGTCAATCTTGTTATGAATTTATAATACTGACGGAATTATTAAGAAATATTATCAAAACTCGCGATTATATATAACATTATCGAGTTGGGAATATTTACAGATTAACTCATTGTACGTATTAGTTTCTAACGCTAAATAATGAAGCTGAACAACGTAGTTCAATCATTACAAAAGGTGTACGAATCGACTTATTTGTTTTTTAAAAAAATGAAAAAGCGGAATTTTGCATATTCTAGAATTCTTTTAAAACTAAAAATAGATTAGCCGTTATTGAGTTATTGTAATTCCTGATAGAGGCGCAGAAATTCTGTAAAAGATGATGTCAAAAGATAAAAATTACATCTAGAGTCATAACAGGCTTATGGCGGAATAGTAGAATTTGCTAGACTTTGGTAAATGTAATTTTTTAAGAAAATTTCAATTAAATGTAACGATTCATCTTAACTGTTATTGATTGGCGTTAAAAATATTAGAACATAAAATTAGCAAGTTCAACTATATTTTTGATTGATGAAATAAATTATAAAAATGTTAACATTTAACGCTAATAGGGTTAATGTTCAGATTTCTGATTAAATTAAATTAATGACGTATTTGTTTTTTGAAAAAAGTGATTTCTACATTCTATTATATATTTATGTGAACAATTTCTTATTGGAAAAATACACCTATTTCGTTATCTGATATGATATCGGAATTTCAAAGCGGAAATGAGGTTTTTTAAACTCCCATTTTTACATCATAATTAAGAGTTGGCACAAAAAGGTCAATACATATTTTCTACTTTCTAAACAGCCAAAGTTGGAAAACCAAAATTTAAATGAGATTCACAGTACAAAATATATATTATTGAATAAATCTCTAAAAAAAAATTAATATAAATTATAAGATTTAAATAAGAAATAAACTACATTTAGAGTATATTTTATCGACAAAATGCGATATTATGTAGTTAAAAAAAAAAAAGAATAGTTGAATTTAATATTTTAGATTAAAAATTAAAACAGAATTATTATCCATTATCGTAAATGGATTTGTACAAGGCCTGGATATGGTATATTCCACCAATTTTAAAGCCTCTAATAGACTCGAGTATAGTAGATAGCTGAGAGTTAAATTCCAATAAAAATTAAAAAACTGATTAAAATTATTCCGCCTATACTACTACCAATTTCAATAAACAAACGTGTTTGAGAAGAGGTCGAATTATTTGTTGATGGTTTAGTTGTTGTTGGACTGGGTTTTGTCATGTTAGTAGTGCACTGTAAAGCCCCACACTGGGCGCAACTGATCCGAATACCATAATCACAAGTACTGCCAGTAGGGATACATTCATAGATGTGTGTATTGTTGCAGCCTG